GGGGGGGGGGTTACAGCCCGGCTGTGAGACGGCCAGACGAGCTGGCGCACCTTGAACGAGCAGCACCGACAACGGGCACGGCGACGGCGGTGTGCCTCAAATAAATGCATTGTTGTTGCACAGCTTTTTACAGCAGCCGGCGAAACAGTCGGCGCACACACACACACACACACACACACAGCAGCGATATGTTGTCGGATTGCCGCACGCCACACCACCTCACCTCCTCCTCCACCTCCCAATGGTCGGCCACGTCGTGTGACGTCACCCAAGAGGCCCTCACCTCCACACCCCACCAGTAATCCCATGCAGCCTCGCCCCTCCCCTCCTCCCCTCCCCTCCTTTCTACCCCACTCCATTCCCATGGCACTTTGACGCCACTTTACAGCCGGGGTGTGGCAGCGCTGCAGGAAGACACTCGCCTTGCACAGCCCCCCTCCCAAGCAGCAGCAGCAGCAGCAGCAGCATCAGCAGCAGCAGCAGCAGCGACACACGCAGCCGGGCCACTCCACTCCTCGGTTTGACGACACAGTCATTAAAAGTTTACAGCCACTACGCCCTTAATCAGACGGCCGGCCTGCCTGCCGTGGTGGCTGCCAGCAGCGGTGACTGCCATAGCAGTGGCTGCCTGCTCAGGCTGGCCGGCCAGCGCCGTGCAGCCACAGAGTGCGCCCGCATAGTACAACAGCAACAGCACAGGCCGAGCAGCCAGGACAGAACAACAAAATGTCAATAATAGAAATTTAGAAAAAGCGCCAACTATTACAGTTTCCAGATCGCCCCCCCCCCTTTCCCCATCTCCTCCGCTCCTCAACCATAAGCCCAAGGAGTAAAGCCATTACGAGGGGCAGGCGGACTGGGTGCCGGCCGGTTCTCCCCCCCCCCCCCCCCCTCTCCCCGCTCCTCTTCCTCCACACTCTCGGTGGGGCCGTTCCACCGACACGAACGTCAAGGTTATTCCAATGCGACGCGAATGTCAAAGAGCCAGGCAAATTGGACAGCGCGGAGTCACATGACGGCGGAGTGTCATTCACTCGCCCCCCCCCCCTC